GCACGGGTGGTGGTTGCCAGAGCCTCTAGTCTAGGGCTCCAGAGAGGTGCTCGCATGGGTTCTAGGGCAGGCCTGTGCCTCTCTGGAGAGCCAGCCAAGGCAGAGGGCATGGAGCAATGTGCTGTGCCCATGGCCCCAAACCTGCTGTGACATAGGACCATTAGGTCTCGGACTTTTTTAAACCTGTGCCCACTGGGCAACCATGTCCTCATGTTGCAGCAACTGTCCAGTGCCTGCTGGATGGGCACTTCATCATTGTGGTGCCTCGGGGCCTGTCCATGCAGCCCTACAACCTGGACAGTGTTCGGCTGGCCAGCGACGAGGGTCACTGTGATCCCGCCAAGGTGACGGAGTCTTTCGTGATGTTCCGGTTCCCTGTAACTCAGTGTGGTACCACGGTCCAGGTAAGGACAGGGCCACTGGTGCCCCTGACAGCTCTGCCCCAAGAGAGAAAGTCGAGCCTGCATTTGTGTTTCCCCCAGGTGATCGAAGACCGGCTGATTTATGAGAACCAGCTGATCTCTACCATCGATGTACAGGCAGGACCACGTGGCTCCATCACACGGGACAGCGTTTACATGTAAGGGGAGGGAAGGGGTGGCTGAGCTGCTCCTGGCTGAGAAGGACACCAGCTCTCCCTGCCAAGCGGACCAGGGAGCTTACATCCCACCTCAGCAAAACCTACTCAGCTGCTTCCTAAGGCACCTTGCAGATCAGGAGCCCAGAAAGTTCCCTTTCTCCCCGGCTCCTGTCAAGTGACTGGATGCCAGAAGGTCAGAGAACATGGTTGTGCATGGTTTGGCAACAAGAGCTGCTCCCTGCTTAGGAAGAGAGCTAATAAAGTTGCTGAGTGAAAGCCAGAAAAGCAGCTAGATAACAACCTATGACTCCTCTAAGTTGAGCTTTTGTGTCTTCGCCCTGCTCTTCCCCCCACAGCCTCCACGCTCGCTGCATCTACAACGCCAGCGACCTCCTGCCAGTCCGTGTAGAGGTGGCAGTGCCTCCCACCGCAGAAGCCCTCACAGAGCCCGGGCCCCTGCGGCTCCAGCTGCGTGTTGCCACAGGTGAGCAGCCCACGTGGCCGCACCGCGGTGCGCCCCGGGGCCACGGCTAGCTGGGCTTCTCCCTCCTCTCCCACAGATGACAGCTACAGCAGCTACCATGAGGATGGCGACTATCCCCTCGTGAAGGTGCTGAGGGACCCCATCTACGTCGAGGTTCGCCTCCTGCAGAAGACAGACCCCAACCTGGTCCTGGTCTTGCACCAGTGCTGGGCGTCCCCCAGCACCAGTGCTACGGCAGAACCCCAGTGGCCCATCCTTGTGGACGGGTGAGTGGGAAGCAGGCAGGGAAAGGAAGGATGGCAAGGAGGGGCCATCAGCAGCGACTGAGGGTACTTCTTGTGCATCCAGGTGTCCATTCATAGGGGACAACTACAGGACCCAGCTCCTACCTGTGGGTCCGGCCTCACAACAGCTGCCCTTCCCAAGCCACTATCAACGCTTCGTTGTCTCCACGTTTACCTTTGTGGAGTCCCCCTCCATGGCCATGCTTGAAGGAGAGGTGAGGAGAGGGCGCATAAACGTCATGGCAGGGGAACGTCTCTGCTCAGCCTAGCGGGGCGAAGCGGAGCTTGAGCTCAGCTCTCGGAGACTGAGTTACAAGGACTCCGATGCAGGGCATAAGCCCTGCGACTTGGCCACTGGCTTCAGAGCTCTCCCGCTATCCCTCCTGGGTACTGCCCTCCAATGCATGCAAGCCCAGCCACCACCTGCAGACCCACGTGCGCCCAGCCCCATCTAGGGCGGCTTAGCCCCCAAGAAATGGGCTCCTTCCAGATGACTCGGTGAATACACCTCCCCAAGGGGTGTCCTTCAAGCTGTGGGGACATTCACTGTCCAACCTGTAATATCAGCAAGCCCACATCAACACCCTAAACAAAGCCCTGGCACTGCTACTGAGCAAATGTTATGGTTTCCCACCCAGCCAAAGATCCCCGGCTCATGATGTGCAGACACAGACATTGCTGCCACCTGCCAGGTAGTCTCCCCTCTTCTCTGACCGTGGCCCTACAAAACAAGCAAGGAATCTGTGCTGTATTATAGGGCTAAAGGACTGAAAGAGCTGTTTCTCACAAGGCCAAAGGGCCAGGCTTCCTGTCTGCCAGCTCCTGGCCCTGTCCCTGCCCCAGGTGCTAACGCTGTGCCAATGCCTGCCTTGCAGGTGTACATTTTCTGCAGTGCCTCCGTGTGCCACCTCGCGCAGCCAGAGCCCTGCCGCCCCTCCTGCCAGCTGGGAGTGCCATCAAGTAAGTGTGGCTGCGTTCAGGGGAGGGCTCTCCTGGTCGCATCCAGCTGCCAAGGCAGATGCTGCCCTGCCTGTGACGAGCGCGTGCTCCTGTGTGGCCTCAACACGAGGAGCTGAGAGGTTTTGACCACTTGTTTGGTAACGGCGTGCTGGCCAGAGAGGGACCTTTGGTGGCCTGCAGCACGACTCCCCATCCTGCTAACTGGCAAACCTCTTCCCTGCCAATTCCTGTTATCCCTCCCCAGGAGCCCGCCGGTCTCTGGGTGACAAGAGGACACCAGAGCCCATGGACAAAGTCGTTTCTCAAGGACGCATCATCTTCCAGGAGAGCCCCAAGCTGCAGCAAGGCTGAGCTCAAGAGTGCAGGGTGAGTATTCCTGCTAGCACCTGTTCAGACGCTAACTGAAAAACATAGGTTTTCAGCTCTCCTATTACCGTCCTCTCCACCAGCTGCCCCTTTGCCCCGGGCAGCACTATTTTACAGCCTTTTCTCCACAGTCGTTGCCTCCAGGACACAGCTGACTAGACATCTCCTGGCTCTGCTCTCCCTCGCCAAAAACGTGCAGTAAAGTAAAAAATAAATCAGCAAGTGTTGGGCTCAAATGAGAGGCTTTCATGGTTTGTCTGTGGGGGACAGGAGCCAAAAAAGAGGCTCCTTATCTCAGAGACTGTGATACCCACATCCTCCCCTGAGGTTCCCTTATGTGTTACAGGCAATCGTGCAATCCTACCCCTCTGGCAGGTGGCTGTGATGTCTCCCTCTCCATCTAGCACTTCTATCTGGTCCGTCACATCCTTCACCCAAGTGCTCACGTTGATTCAAACCAGGAATGCAGCTGCCAGCGTGTGGCTGCTCCCACCCGTGTCCAAAGGAACCACCTACACTCCCCAAAGCCCGGAACGCAGAGGGGCTGCTGGAGGCTGGGGCACACAAGTGCCACATGGGATTAGCAGTGCCCTGGAAGCCCTGAGCTCCCCCATGCCATGGCAGCAGGATGCCCGAGGCCAAGCTCCGCATACAGGGTGGGCTGGCCTAGAAAAAAGACATGAAGGAAACTGGGAGAAACTGAAATAAGCACAGGGCACTTCCCGGGGCGTCAAGACCCACGTGGGCTGCTCTCCCTGTGCCTGACTCCATGAGCTAGGCGCTCCCCTCACCTGCACCAGTTATCAAAGCCGGAGCCCTTGGCCCTCCTGGGCAGCAAACAGCGTGTTCAGGGTTGCCAGGAGGAGGGAAGGGAATGCAGGGATGGGGAACACTTGCCAGCATCCCTTCCCCCTGCTCAGCCTGCCCCCAGTCTTCATGGCAGCATTGAAAGGGCTGGCAGAGAGATGCTTTAGCCCCTCACAAAGCTGCCCTGGAGACGTTCTGCGGTCTCCTCTTTTTGGGAGTGAAGCCAGAGCGCACAGAACCACCTCCTGCCAATCTCCTGGGCTTCCCAGGTGACCGGGGGGAGCTGGCAGCTACTGCAGGAAGGGACCTTGAGCCTCACTGAAGTGACGCTGTAGCAGGGACCCACAGCCATCTCCCCGCTCTCTCCTTCTCCATTCTAGGGATGGGAGATGGGTCCCAAACGGCTCCCAGACATTCCTAGCTGGAGGGGAGGAGGCCGGGGGAGCCCAGCCGGCCCAGCTCACGCAGAGCCCATGGGAGGTTTCCCTTCCACAGACCTCGGTGCAGCACAGCCCCTTGCTTCTCTTACCTCTCAGGCTGCCTCGGGCATAGGCATCTGTGGAGGACGGAAAGCGCCAGCTTCTCAGCTACTCGGGGGGCACAAGGGACCCCCACAAGGACACAACCCGTCTCACCTTCAAGGAGACACCCAGAAGGATGGGTGAACTGAGCTCAGGGAAGCCCTTTCTCCTCCAGCAAATGCCAAGGTGAAACCAAGCACAGAGCCAGCTGTCTAAGGCAAAATGGATCTACCCATTTCTGCTCCTCCTGTATCTCGGGGAAAAACGAGGCCAAAGCATCTCTCGGAAGCTGCAGGGAGAGGAGCAGCTCTCCTTTGAAAACCTGGGCTTGTCCCCGCTCCACCACACCCAGATCTTTCACCAGACCCTTCCCACAGGGCCAGGTACCTCCGTGGCTGGGTGGGAGAGGTCACCAAGAGCAGGGCTGGGAGCACTGCCTGCCTCTCCGGAGCCCTGGCGCCCTCCTCCTGGGCACAGATGACAGCGAGCTGTGCTCACGTGAGGAAAGATTAACGGTTCTTTATTTCTGTAACGAAACTAGATAGCTGCTTACAAAACCTGCACATTCACCCCCCTCCCTCCTTCCTGACATGCATCCCCACTACGGTCTCTCAGTCACAAACACCCACCAGCAAATGGGTTGGAGCCTTTCGTTGACTCAGTTACAATCACAAAAAAAAAAAAAAAAAAAGATCTAAAGCCAGAAAGACGAGCACAAAACCAAGAAAGGAGAAAAACAAAACAATGAACCCATAAAAACAACAACAAGGAAGGTGACATCCTGGTTGCTTCCCTTCTGCCAATCACTAGAGCAGGGAAGCGCAGAGAAGCAATGAAACCCACCCGCCTCCCCCCAGCCCCAATACTCCCTCGGTGCCTCCCCAAACGCCAGCGTGAGGCCCCCGTCAGCCGCGCTGCTGCGGTCACAGGCTGTAGAACTTCAGGCTCCGGTCCATGCCCGTGGAGGCGATGAACTTGGCGTGGTGGCCAAAAGCCACCCCCGTGGTGAGGCCACTGTGCTCTGCGGAAGGAAGGCGGCACGCGGTCACGGCACTGCGAGCGGAGCTCGGGCAGAGCAGGACGCGGGGCTTTAAAGGAACTGGCCTCTCCTACGTGCTCTTTCCGTGGTCATGGACCAGTAGCAGCAAGGAAAGATCGTCTCCAGAACTCCTGCTCTCAGGACCCCAAGAGTTCAGGCTGCACGGCCAAGGATTGCCTCCCATTTTCCCTCACCCCCGCGGTATCCACTGGCACAAATGCTGATGGGGACTGTGTTATCACTTTGCACCCCACAGCTAGGTCTGAAGCACCATGTCCCCCAGAATCCGATTTCCTCTTGCCAAAAAGGGCACCCAGACACCGCCCTCGCAACCATCCCCGCTGTGTGTCTCTGCCAGCTGCAGCCCCTCACCTGTGAAGTGGAGGATTTCTGTCCACTGCTTGCAGATGTAGATCTGAACATCGGTGCCACCCAGGGCCAGGTAGGTGCCACTCTGGTCAAAGATGAGAGATTTCACCTGCGGAGAGGGAGAAGCGAAGCTTCACACCGGGCCAAAAAGCTCCAAACTGGCCACAGGGGAGCAACTCAACACCTCGTGAAGGGAACCCACCACCGCAGCTGGCAGCTCTACATCAGGCTCCCCACAGATGAGAGGAGCACAGGCTTGTCTTGGAAAGGGGACATAGTGACAGCAATCTGCAAGGCTGCCCAGCCAGGCAATCCAAGGTCACGCACCTCAAAGTTATTGTCCAGCTGCAACGTCTTGAAATTCTTGAGTTTACGCAAGTCCCAGAGCTTGACAGAGGAGTCGTCCGCAGCCGTGGCGAGATAGTAGCCGTTCTCGGAGAAGGCGATGCTGGTGATGGGGCCCGAGTGCCCTGGGAAGTTGGCCACGTTGGTACGTTCCTGGGAGCAAGACAGGGAAGCGCTCGTAGGGAAACGCGGCCCCTGGCAGCCTCAGCCCTCCCTGGGCAGCCTTGGCAGGGTTTCAGCTGGGCAGAGAAAGCCCAGGCGAGCACAAGAGCCTCTGAAGGAGCAGAATGGCCAGAATTTGCGTGTACCCATGGAAGTGGAGATAAGGAAAGCCACGGGGCACTGCCATCCCATGCAGCACCCAGACTCTTCACATCAGCTCCAGGGACCCAGCAGAGTCCTGTAACTGCTGTGCTCAGAGCAGACAACCTATGTCCACCCGGATCATCAGAATGCCTCGGAGTGACTCACCCTGCAGCAGAGCCAGCCTGCCTCCCCGTAAACCTCCTCCTCTCTCAGGGAGAGGGCAAACCCGTTGTCAAAAAAACGCTATCGATTGTCAGCTTCAACACCAGAAAAGAGGCAACTCTTCAGCCGAAGCTTTATATTGTAGGAGAAAACCACCACGAGCCACGTTGAGGGCCTCCTCCCAGCTGCAGACAAGGGCTCTGTGCCTAGGGCTGAGCACCCGGATGGACACCAGACCGAACAGACCAGTAGCAGCCGTGTCCCCTCGCACCCCCCACAGCCTCTCGCCTGCCCAGAGCTGCCCTTACCTTCAGATCCCAGATCTTGATCTGGGAGTCCATCGTCCCTGTTCCAAAAATGAGCCCATCTGGGTGGAACTGGGCACAAGTAAGAGCTGCAGAGACACAGGGAGAAACGTGGAAGGTTTGGGGGAAGAGTCTGACCTGGGAGACCTTTTTACCGGGGGGTGCCCACGGAAGTTTCGCTGGAGACCCGGGGCTGTGTGGGCAGAAAAACCCCTTCTCCACAACCTCACAAGAGCCCCCAGGGGCAGGCAGGCCCAGCCACAAGCCTTACCACAGCCGGAGCTCTCATCTGTCACCTTAGTAAGAACACGGCCTGTCTGGATATCCGAGAAAGCCCAGTACTGGAAGAGAAGAACAGAGCATTGAGCACCCAGCAACAAGGGGTTGCGGCTGTCTACACTCTTGGAGCAGCATCTCACCTGGTCATCAGAAGAGCTGAGCAGGTAGTCACCCGTGGCATGGAGACTCAGCCCTGTCACAGAGCCCTCGTGGGCACGGACAACTTGGACACACGAGGCGTTGGGCACAGACCAGATCCGGATGGTTGCATCAGGAGAAGCTGAAAACACCAAGTCCTGGACGGGGGTGAGACAAGCAGGTTAATGCCAAAGGTCAAGACTTTCATGTCTCCATCTGAGCGCTTCCTAGAACTGCCTTCATCACCTAAGGTGGAAACCCCCTCACCCCACTCCCTTACAACAGGCCATGAGGAGGTGGGTCCATCTGATCTAGAGTCATCTGGCCTGTGAGGGAAGAGGCCAAACACAGGCATGTTCGCACCTGAGACGGGTGGAACACGACACTGGTGACCTTCTTGGAGTGTCCCTTGAGCGTTGCCAGGATCTGCTCCGAAGTCTTGTCAAAGACGATGACATTTTTATCAGCCCCGCCTTAAAAACAAAACGGAGACTTGCGAGAGATGGAGTCTGCGGCCAGCCCAGCCCAAGTCCACCCACCTTTCCTCGGGACCACGTTGTCCTGAGAAGCTCTGCACTCAGCCAAGGGAATTCCTGATGCCCCTGGTCATACACCCACCCTCCAGCAGCACAGAGAGCAACGTGCCCCAAAGCAACCGCAGCTCTTGGCTAGCGGCCCATCCCCGGCTCCCTTACCAGTGAGGATCTTGTTGGTGTCGGAAGGACAGAGATCCAGGGCAAGGATCCCTGGGATACTGGCACTGTGCAGCCCCTACACAAAATAAAAGGACGTTGGATTAATGCCACAATAAAAAAGTGTCCCCAGTGGAATTGAGAGGCCCTCATGGGGAGCCCAGGGTGTTTCCTTCCAACATTGGCAGTCTGGGCCACATCTATCCCAGCACATGCCCCCATCTTGTGGCACAAAACGCCATGACCCTCTTCCTGCCCTGCAGAGCAGCAAATTTGTCACTCATTAATGCTGCAAAGCGGCGCAGGAGATGCCAGGATACCCAGCTGAGCTTTTGAGCCCTTGTCCCGAGCTGTGGCACTCACCACATGTGAAGCCACCTGCCGGTACTTGCTGAGCTCCTCTGGTTTCACCAGCTCCTCTGGAACAGTCTTGCCTCTCTGCAGAAATAAAACAACACAGAGATAAACGACGGCCTCCCCCAGGGAGCCTTCACGTCCTCATTCCATAGCGCCTGGCTAAGCAGCACCCAAAGCCACCCAACTCCGTCCCCTCCCAAGGCGAGATGCCACCGCTCACCTTCTTGCGCTCCGTGGTCAGCACCGTGGCCTTGTCTTGCAGCTGCAGAACAAGGAAAGGTCGTTACCCAACGGACGGAGGCTCTCGCGGCGAGGAGCCAGGGGAGGCTGCGAGGGAAGGTCCCTTACCTTCTGAATGATCTCGGGGGTCATGCCCGCCAGCTCGCCCAGATCCATGGACTCCCCAGCACCCTGCACGGGACAGGGAAGAGGGCCGGTTACGGCCAGGACGGCGGCAAGGCAGGGACGCGCCACGGGGGACACTCACCGCCACGTTGGGCTGGGAGGACGGCACCGTCTGGGGCACGATGAGGCCAGCCTGGGGTTTCAGCGTCGCCAGGGCTGCGGGGCAGAGAAAACCGGCCAGTTAGAGAGGCCGCTCCAAGGCGGGAGAGAGACGGCCCCGGCAATCGAGCTACGTGCTCCGGGGCCACACGCTGCGGCGCGCTCCCCCCCGACCC